TAGCCATGGGAAAAGAAAAAGGGCCTCCTCTCTCTGTAAAGAAGTTGACAAAACAACATGAGGCCAGCTAAGGGCCAGGGCTTGCTGTGAGAAGCACTGTGAATGTTGACAAAATTCAGAACACTGTTTATTGTGTGTCTGGTGCGTGACTGGCTACATCCTGGGAACCCAAGGACTGTGTATGTGCCATGGAGCTGGTGTGAACGCTGTTTACATTCTCTGTACCCTGATTACTTATTTTCAGTTCCCACTGTAAAAGTATATAAAGGAACATTTTCTCATAATAAAGGATTCCATTGCTTCTCACCCTGGAGTCCGTGTCTTAACCACCACAGCTAAAACAATAGAGCCCATAGGGTTGCGATCAATGGTGCAGAGTCCAGTTGGAGACCTGTGACTAGTGGTGCTCCCCAGGGGTCAGTACTGGGCCCAGTCTTATTCAACATCTTCATCAATGATCTGGATGAGGGGACAGAGTGTATCCTCACAAGTTTGCTGATGATATGAAATGGCCTACATCAGGAATAGTGTGACCAGTAGGACCTTGAAAGTGATCCTGCCCCTCTACTCAGCCTTGGTGAGGCTGCACCTCAAATACTGTGTGCAGTTTTGGATGCCACAGTGTAAGAAGGACATTGAGGTGCTGGAGAAGGTGCAAAGAAGGGCAACAAAGCTGACTAGGAGTTTTGAGAACCGGTCTTATGAGGAGAGGCTGAGGGAGCTGGGGCTGTTCAGCCTGGAGGAGGCTGAGGGGGAGACCTCATTGCTCTCTACAACTACCTCAGAGGAGGTTGTGGTGAGGTGGGTGTTTGCCTCTTCTCCCTAGTGACTAGCGATAGGACAAGAGGAAATGGGGTCAAGTTGTGCCAGGGGAGGTTCAGATTGAATGTGAGGAAAAAATTTTTCACAGAAAGCATGGTGAGGCATTGGAACAGGATGCCCAGGGAGGTGGTGGAGGCACCGTCCCTGGAGGTGTTAAAAAAAAATGGGTAGACGTGGTGTTTTGGGAGATGGTTTAGTGGTTAGGGGTTGTAGGGTGGACAGTTGGACTTGATGATCTTGAAGGTCTTTTCCAACCTTGATGATGATTATATTCTATGATTCTATGAAGATGATAAAGTAAATGACCACCAGAGGTTTTCAAGACCAACATGTGTGTGTGTAGGTGGGACAGTTTGAAATGATTTCTCAGAAAAAAGCCATGAATATGTAAAAGAGCTCTCAGTTTGCTAATGAATATGCATATCTGAATTGTATATACTGTGGGAACAAAGCCAGCCTGGTGTGCATGCTTGGAGGAAGGACCCCACACACACCCGGTGCCACAATAAAGAATACCCGCTTAACAGTGACTCATTGCTCTGTTAAGTCCTTTGCGCAGATTTCTCAGAAACAATAGCCCCATACCACCTACTATGAACAAAATTAACTCTATCCCAGCCCAAACTGGCACAATCTCCACCTCTTATTATATACCATTTATGTCATGCTAAGGTCCCACACTATCCAATACATCCTCATTAGCCACCACCTCCCTTCTCATCCTTTGATATTTACACAGATATAATTCCCTTAGTCTATGGACTATCCTTGTAAAATTTCCGTAAAATGTCCATAAAATGTCTATTCAGTTCATTTATTCCATGATTTTGGGCTCCATCTGTTATGGTGGTCACTCAGGACAGAAAGGTGTTGTGTTGTGTGGAGTTATTTGGCACCAAAGCCAACTCATGTTGGTTCACTGCTGCATTTGCACTACTTTTGTGAGGCATATCCTCCATTGGTCTGGATGGTTCCTGCTATAGTACTTCCTATAATATGCAACTCAAATAATGGGTTACAACAATTTAAAAGTATATCCATTACAATCTCTACTTGCAATGAACTCCCTTTGCTCCTCGCCTGGCTAGCAGCAAGGGATTCCTGTTATAATACCTTTGACATATGGCAGCCAGAGCAGTAGCAACATACAGCATCATATAACACTAGCATCATATAGCAATGGCACCATACAACTCAAATAATGGATTATTTTCACTCAAGATTAAATCTCCCTGAGGTACACATCAGACTGCCCCATCCTTTTAAATTATCCACCAAGTACGCCTAGCTCCTTGAGCAAAAGCAATTCCACAAATGGGTTTGCCTTTTCCAGAAAAAGGAATAACCCATACTATCATTCTCAGTCAGTTCCTTATGTGTGCTACAGGGACTTTATCTCCTTCCACAGTACATAGGGGTTTTGATTGGGCAGGGCCAGGTGAAATGGCAAATCCTCTTGTGGTAACTAGCCAAGTGACTTTTGCCAAATTTGTATCTCAGTGCCTGAATGTCCCAGCACCCATTGCTTTCAGTGTAGTTTTTAACAGTCCATTGTATTGTTTAATTTTTCTGGAGGCTAGTGCATGAGAAGTCAATGCCATGCTCCTTGGCCCAGGTGTCTATGACATTGTTGATCACTTCCACCACAGCTAATTCCCTCAGATACTGGATACATCCCACAACGGTGGTCCATTTGCCTGCATAATTTACAAGATCTTCCTTGAAGGGATACCTTTCCTTCATGCTTGACAGGAGGTGCTTCCAGAGGCTAAGGACTCCTGACCCTTTTCTAATCCCTTTTTCAACTCCCTTATCCCTAGCAAGGGATCCCAGCTACTGGGCTTCCTTACCCTCTATTTCCTGCCTATTGGCCCAAATATACCACCATCAGAGCAACCAGTTAATAATTTGCTTGCTTGGTCGATGGCTGAAATCTTTTCACATATCTCACAGCTCACTCAAGGATAGGGATCATGTGGTTTCTGACTTGTTTATGATTTAAGTCTCTTTCGTCTCCTGTTCTTGTGACTGCTCTGCTGCAGAACAAGCTGCCTCTTCTGATTCTCCCTCCTGCTCCCTCTCAGGAGAAGCTCCTTTCTCCCTTTCTAAATGAGTTGACCTCTGCTTCCATTGTTTCTTCTTGACTATCCTGGAGCAACTGATACAGTTGAGGGTTGAGTCTCTGGTTCAGCCACATTCTGTTTGTATGTCTTCAGATCCAGAGACCCTCTCCTCCCCTTGAGGGTGCTGAATTCTCAGTAGGTGTAGGCCAGGCCCCAGCACAGTAAAAGTTGTGTCTTTTTGGCATAGCCAGGGCCATAGCATCCTTTTTTTCACTTAATCAGGATCCCACACTTGTTTGGGAGTGAAGTTCCAGACCACTGTTGACAATTGTTCTAGGTACCTGCCCATGTTCTCCCTCACGCCTTGCCACCCATAACCACACTGCCTTGGGGCATATCCCTGGGTGATATTCCTAAACAGTTGGTTAACCTTAGAAAAAGCCACCCCAAATATTATTGAGAAGTACTGATAGGAGTGTTTTGGTTACCCAAGGATGTTCAAGATACTGAAGATTCATTGTAACAAAGGAGCAAACATCTACCCCATAAAAGAAGGAGAAGGTGTCATTCTGTTTCCTCCACTGAATGCCTCTCAGAGTTAAAAATTGAAAATGTGTAATTGGCAATTGTCTCCATGAGATGGTTCCTGAAGTACGGGGAAGGCATCGATGCAGGGCCCAAATACCAGATTAGGCTCAAGGCCAGTGCTTTTTTCATAATTCTCCCAGGCAAAACACCACCAAATGCTACACAGAACAGCAAACTGCAAAAGCCAAAAACCAGTAACAAGCTCTCAAATTTGATGTACAGTAAAAAAAAGGGAAAAGATAAACCAATGATGAGGACAGATAAGTAAACATCATGATCAGTAACTGTTAAACTGATATAATAATTATAAGTTCCCTCCAATACACTCCAGTCAAATCTGTCATTATCTCAAACCCTTCAAGCCCCACGTTGGGCACCAGAAAAGGACTGTTGTGGTTTAACTCCAGTAGGCAGCTAAACACCAAACAGCCACTCACTCACTCCCCTCCCTCCAGTGGTATGGGGAAGATAAACGAAAGGGTAAAAGTGTAAAAACTCATGGGCTGAGATAAATACAGTTTAATAGGTAAAGCAAAAGCTGCATGCACAATGGTCTGAAACACAAGGTCTGTATTCTGCTTCTTGCCTTCCTCACTCCTCTCAGGATTTTGAGCTCCACTCAAGTCAAGGCTGCCACTGATTGCCACATCCTCAATTAGTTCTTCCTTGTTCATGAGCAGCAGCAGATCCAGCTGTGCATCCCCCCAGTTGGCCCATTCAACACCTGTATTAAGAAGTTCTCGTTATTCTTTACCCCTTGCAACACACTCCAGAAGCCTCCTGGACTGTTTCTGTCCCATTGTTGCCCTTCCAGCAGATGTCAGGGAGTTTCAAGTCCCCCATAAGAACCAGGATCTGTAATCTGGAGACTTCCTCAAGTTACTTAAAGAAGGTCTTGTCCCCTTCTTCACACTGATCAGGTGGTCTGTAACAAGATCACATCATGATATCACCCCTTACTATAGTGTCTCTTTTCTGTTCCTGACCAACAAGCTTTCAATGAGCCTGTAACCTATTCCATAGAAGAGCTCTATATGCTTGAGCTGCTCCTTTATGTGAAGGACAATCCCCTGTTTCCTTGCCTGTCTTTCATAAAGAGCTGTTAGCAGTAGCTGTATCATTTTATAGGACCATTTCCAGATAAAAGCTCTAGGTGAGATTCCTAATAGTACTTGATGAACTTTGAACTTTACAGGAAAAAATTTTTCCTGTAAGCATCTGAATGTATGTAAAATAGCTGCTAATGGATAGGGTAAGAGACCAGGTCATAAACCAGCATCCATTTTGACTCAAAAATACATGAGAATATGGCATAATTCTATGAAGGGAGCAGGGAAGTACAATACGTTTCCTAGCTCTAAAGCTTGCACCATTATATATACCATATTATATATACTGTTACAATTTACCCCAGGAAATAATAGTTTTTATTTTACATCAGGGAAAGCTGTATGGACAGTGAAACTCCAGGCTTTCCACCTCCTATGTCTAAATCCATAGTCAATATAACTAGAGAACCATACTTACTGGAGGAGGCACACTACAGATAGGAAAGTGCTGTCCACTGAATACCACAGAACAACCTGGGACCTGCTGTGTGCTGCAGGGTGGTATGCACTGGGCTGTACAAAGTGGAATTCCATGCGGCGCCACCGTTGTCACCGTGTATGAGACAGGGACTGCGCCCTGCTGGATCTGCACCAAAAACACAAGTGTATGAAGTAAGTTGTTACAAGGGCTTTGGACAGTTATGGCATGGCATAGCAAACAAACTTTCACCTAACATAACAAAAAAGTATTTTTTATTCTGAAGGTGTTAAAGAAGGCAAATACCTGTAATCTCTGTCCTTTACAAAAAAACACAAAAACTTCTCATTGGAGTATCACTGTTCAGTCAGTGCATTTAGGATAAGGCCAGGAGGGAACTCTTGAGATGTTAAGTCCTCCAAGGCACTGTTAGAGAAGTTCAGTAAAGCTGCCCCTCCCACACACTAAGGTTAGTTCTTAGAGAAAATAGGTAGCAGTAACTCCCATGTAAAATCCAGTAAGAAAAAGGGGGAGGAAAAAACTCTACAAAAATCTTTTCAACTGGTCCTTGCAGAGTGATTGAAATGTTAACCCAGAGAATTATATCTTTGAAGAAAAAGAACTTCAGATGGATTTTCTTTCCTGTAAAGAAGCCGATGTCTGAGTGCCTACACAGGGCAACACTCTAGGGTTGTCTCTTAACATGACTAACAACAGTAGTTGAAACCAAAGATTAATTTAATAGCTGAAAAAGATAAGGTTACATGTTCATAAATATGCCTCTGAGACAACATCCACTAAATATCTACAAACATGATGGCTTATAGTTTTTTTTAAGTTACTGATATTCACTTAGAACTCAGTCATCAGTCCAAGGGTAGAAGGTACTCTGGACCCAGACACATCACAACTCCTTGTATTACAACAGAAATCTAGCAAAAAATGCAAAGAATCATAAGTAGGGAATGTGGATTCACAGAAAGCAATTATTTTAAAGAATCTTCCTTCACAACCTACTAAAATAGAATCCATCTGATAGACATAGGATACTCATTAGTAGATTCAATAGAAAAATAGCCTAATAAAAATTTACTAAAATAATGAATTAGCTGCACTAAGTTAGCTGAATGGGTTACTTTTAAAACAATGTGCTTTGTGAAACTGTCAGTCAAATATGCCAAGCATCCTGCAGGTTGTGATAACATCAAGTCTTCTAAAACCTGTTGTGCCTACAGACTACACTCATGTTGACTCTGACCCACCTGGGCAATCTATCAGCAGGAGACTAGAGACAGGAGACAAGACAAAGATGACAGGACTAGAATCAACAAAGATCCCCACAGGAGACCTTCGAGCATGCATACTTACAAAGATAGCCAATTCCAGGAAATAAAATGACTATACAAAAGAATTCTGGAAACTCATTGACATAAAACTGAATATGCATGTCTTTGGTGTATATTAGTTGGGGTGTTTCACTAACTCTTAGGAGCACTCATGGTGGAGATATCCCCAGTGCTGCCCAGTGCTGCAATAAAGAATGCCTGCTCAGTAACAGCTTATTGGTTGTTATGGGGTCTTAATCTCAGAATCCTTACTGAGCTGCACCTAGCCTCCCACTTCGGTGAGGAGTGTCAGAAAGCAAGGGGGTTTGGAAGCTCCAAATTTTAGTTTCACACCCTTGAAAAAAGAACAAGCAATAACAGCTTGTTACAAAGGAGAGAATAAGTAAATTGAAGAGAGCTAACCTACTGAACTGGCCATGAGATGCTGAGGCCAAAACAGGAACATTACACAGATGACTGAATAAAACTTCAAATTTCAAAACTGCACATATTTGGGAAAAAAGGCACTCAGAAGAAACAGTGACTTTGACGTAGTTCCAGTTCAGGTACCAATGCAAATATTTTGTATGTGAGCTATCAGAGAGTTTTTAATGCCATAACTGTTGGATGTTTGAGGGCACTGCCAGGTGTGATTTTGGAGAGGTTACCACTGCTCTCAGTGCAGAAAGAAAGGTGTCATGGTTTGGGCCTAATATGACAACAAGTACAGTTGACAGACAATATGACAG